GTTGAAAGTCTGGAAAACTACTGGGATTATTGCAAAATGGTTATTCAGCACATAACCTTAGATGCAGAATAGTATTAATATCAGGGACTTTACTCCACTCATCATTCTTTTCACCATCGAGCTGAGGTTCACGAGATGGGTGCTATGGAATCTGAAAGCTCCGTGTGCCACCGTCACTAAAGTTCGCAATGGATAGAAGGCAGTAATATATACATATATATATTATGTAGTTTAAGCTAATAGATTCACTTATTAGTTTGCATTTGTCTCTATTAAAGTGCATGTGTCTTCTTGTATTAATTTTGATCAGGCCTTAAAGATCCCTTGAGGTACTTTCAGCCTAACAATACAGAAGGCTAATAGTAGATTTGGTAGAACTTTTCAGAATCATGAGGGGTCTGGACAAAGTTGATAGGGAGAAACTCTTCCCACTCATGAAAGGGGTGGCACAGTGGCTCAGTGGCCTAGCAGTTAGCACTGATGCCTCACATCACCAGGGACCTGGGTTCAATTATACGCTTGGGTGACTGTCTGTGTGGAGTTTGCATGTCCTCCCTGTGTCTGTGTGGGTTTCCTCTGGGTGTCCTGGTTTCCCCCCACAGTCAAAAGATGTGCAGGCTAGGTGGATTGGCCTCGTTAAATTGCCTGTAATGTCCAGGGATGTTTAGGTTAGGTGGGTTAGACACGGGAAATGTAGGGGTAGGGGTAGGGGAATGGGTCTGGGTGGTGTGGACTTTTTGGGCTGAATGGCCTGTTTCCACACTGTAGGGATTCTATGAGAATGAAAGATTTAAATGTGATTTCCAAACAAATATGATGTTTGAAGAAATGTTTTCACACAATGATTGGTCGGAGTCTGGACTACACAGCCTGGAATTGTGGTGGAAGCATGTTCGATCAGGACATTTAAGAGGGTATGAGATGAATATGTGAATTGAAACAATGTGCAGTAGCACAGGGTAAAGGCAAGAGAACATCATTAAGTCATAATCCTTATTTGGAGAACCAGTGCAATGGACCAAATTATCTTCTTCTGCAGCAAAATGATTCTCTGATCCTATAATGGAGAGAAATGCTGATTTTAGTTACTATTTGTTATTCATGCCTTGGGTGTGGTTAAATGACGTTGCGATTTTCAAAAACGATAGTATAATTCAAATCAGGATATTGTGTGACTTGGAGAAGAGCTTATAGGTGGCCGTGTTACCATGCTTCTGTTGCTTTCAGGCGGCACAGATCAAAGGTGCTTTTGAAGGAATTTCTTAAATTCTGTGTCTTTTCTCATGCGACTTTGTAGCCCTTGCAATATTTTTGTCATGCCTTATGATTTTATTTTAACATTCTTATTCACCAGCATATGTGCTTTTTAAATTTATTTTTGTACATTTTTTCTTTTAGATTTTATATTGTCTCTAATTTCGTTAGTCATCAACGTACTTATTTTGGTTGACAGGATACTTCCCTTGGGGGTATAATCTGGATCAATTTATGAAATTCTTTTTTGAATGCCTGTTGCTGAATTTCTGTCAGTTAACCCTTTACCAATGTTGCCCAATATACTGTGGACAGTCTCTGTTTAATTACATTCAGGTCAACATTTCCTAAACTTTAAATCATAGTAACTGCTTTGTGTTTCTATCTTTCTAACACAATATCGAACTTTATCATATTTATAATTTTTATTCAATACATATTCATGCACCTGTATATTGTAAACTAAATCTGCGTGATTACTCATTACTGTATCAAATAGGGCATACCATCTTGCTAATTCTAACAGTAATAGTCATAGTTTCTTACTATACATCCTGTCCATTATTAAGACCAAGTACTTTCACATCCGTAACACAGGAAACTTTGAACTTGCCTTAACTTAGATGCTGCTGAAACCTTCCAATACCGATTCTTTCTAAGATAGACAAAGCAAATACTGATATTCATGCCAATTTGTTAATGATCAGGCCAGAGTGACTATCCCCAATTTATTACCATTCAGGATGGGTTGCACGACAATGGTTATGTCCGCAGGTGAAGAGGAATGGATTGGCTGCCTTTCTTAATTCAACCCTCTCTTGCTTGGCCCCAACAAGTTTAATTTGAAAAATATCCCTTGCCTCACGAATGCCTTTTCCCAATCCAATTAGATTTTTCTTTTAAATGGAACCAAATTAACCAGACTTTCTTGAATTAAAGGAAAAAGGATGAATTTATTAGCTACTAAACATGAGAAAAGTTAATTAAATGCAACACACATACCATGTAAATTAAGTTAAGAGATAACAGTTGAAAAGAAATGCAAATTGTAAACTCTTGCTCCTACATTGTATGCTCACATTTTGTGTTTATATTAATGGACAGTAAGCTATCTATCTATGAAAAATTAAAATAAAAGCAGGGACAGGGCAATTAGATTATATAGGGACAGTAACTGAAAGCTCAGGGCGATGTTCCCTCTCGGGTGTGTGACTGAGTGTTGTGCACACTGTGTTCCACACACAATAATGGGAGTGATGTCACCATGTTCCACAAGCTGCTACCTTGGCGGTCCACACTGAAGAACAAAAAATGAGAAGGAACACTGCCTAGGAGACTGGCAATGTGATTAATTGAACACACAAGAAACATTTGATTCAACTTATAAATTATTTCAATCTTATTGGATTTGCGTTACTCCTTCCCTCTGATTGGATATCTGGTGTTTGAATTTTCCTAGGTCCAAGATTGCGGACGCTGCTTGAAATTGGATGTGGTCCCAGTCTTCACTGTGCTCTCTGTGCCACAGAGTATGTGGAGGAAATTGTTTTGTCTGATGTTGCTTCTAGCAACCATAAGGAGATTGAGCAGTGGTTACAAAATGATCCAGGAGCTTTCGACTGAAGCCTAATTGCAAAACGTGTGTGTGAACTGGAAGCCAACAGGTAATTATTAAGTAGCCCTGAATTGTTTTTACTAAACTTGCTTCATTAACAACTAACCCCACTCTCACAGCTACCTTAATATCCCCACCCCACCTTACTATGCGTCATTCCCATAACAACTCGTCATTCAGTTGATATCCATTGAAAGACCAGTACTCCTGTAGGGGCATCCCGTTAATCCAATGCCACACTTCTGCCAAAATTCACTGTGGACTCACAGCCTTTCATTGTGCAAGAGGGAAATATCACATGCAGGCAAATAATTGGACCAATCCATATATAAGCCTTTATTTACAGACAGCAAACATGAACCCAAACAAAAGCAACAGAAGCTGATATTCTCTCCACAATTAAAAGAAAGATCATAAGCAATGAATATTTTACAATTGTCTGCTGCACTCAGCTCTCAACCATTGGATGCAAGTGCAATGAGATTCAGTCTGGCTAGTAACACCCTTGACTTGGACAAAGACAGCTTCCTCCTCCTCACAAGACTGCTCCCACTCTCCCAGTTCCTCAGCTTTGAACACATTGCCTTGTTGCCTGCTCTAAGTACAAAGAGTACAACACACCAGGATGGTGCAGCGCACTCCATTCAGACTATACTGGACAGCCCCTCCCCAGAGGAGCGGAACCACATCTTCAACAGAGCATCCAAGTTCAGCGGGCAATACAGAAGGCAAATGGGAATGCTGGCCTTTATTTCAAAGGGAATGGAGCATAAAATTAGAATAGTTTCTTGCTGAAACTATATAAGGCAGTAGTCAGAACTCAACTGGAATATTGTGAACAGTTCTTGAACACCAGCACTTTAGGCACACTTTCTTGATGTTGACATTCCATGGAAGTTCTCTAGATTGATTTCCTGGATAAGACAGTTGTCCTATGATGTGAGGTTAAGAGGATTGGATCCATTGCTCTCTGCAATTAGCACCGATGAAAAATGATTTCGTTCAAACATCTAAGTTTCAAAGGAAACTTAAAATTGTACATTTTGAATGATTGCTTAAACCTGGAGAGTCAAAGGTTAAGCGTTACTGTCTCAGGATAAACTCTTAACTACTTAAGCCCAGATGAGGAATTTCTTGTCTCAAGCTTTATGAATCTTTGGAATGTGGTCTGTCTGTCTCTGTCTCTCCCTCCCCCTCCATTCACACATGCAGCAGCTGATATGCTTAGCCCTGACATGAATTTACCTCAGAAATAGACGTTTCTGTCTTTTAGAGAGATATGGGGCATGAACCACCCTACAGATCTCCAATCTGTGTGCTCCTCCAGTTCTGGCCATGCCAAGTTAAATCACACCACTATTAGCTTATGTGCCTTCAGCTGCCAATGAGGGGCCTCAGCTTTGGATTTCTCTCCCTATCACCCTGCCTCGTAACAACCACCTGAAATAGTCCGACAATCCATCTCAAGGCACATAGGGCTGGACAACAAATGGTTAAGGTATGCCTTGCACTTTACACGCATACGCACACTATTCACACCTCCCCTCTTCCAGTCTGCTGCCTAGGCCACCTGCAGACAGCTGTTCATCAATACTTATAGGGGAACTGAGGACAAATAGAACCCTGGGAAGATGGCCCAGGGCAGCTTGCTGCTGGCAAATGGGAATGCTGACAGGTGGTGTAAATTTTCTCATCTGTCCACTTCTGGGAGCTTCAGATTCTGCTCCATTTGAACATTCAGAAAGCTTTTAGACATGCATTCAAAGAAAAATCATTTTCAATGTTATGAAGGAAATGCTGATGTGTGGGATTAAACTGGACTGATTCTAAATATAATTAATTCAAGTTAGTCAGCTTTGCATTTCCCCAATCTAAATAGTCAAGCTTAGATCCAGCTGCCCTTATGTCTGTACTCCTTAGAGGGTAAAATGTTGGAATACAGTTCATCCTCCGTGTAAATTGACAGGTCATTGACTAGACTTTAGAATTCTGGCACAGTTAGGGGACTTTGAACTCCTCATAAAACAGGATTTGGTAGGTTTTATTCCCTGTATTGAACATAAATAACTAACTGTGATAAAAACACTTCATATCATGAATTTTGGACAATGACCATGTGAGAAAATTCATACGCAGCTTTTCAGGAACCTCCCTTCCTCTTGAAACAAAGCATTTTTCTCAAGCGACTTTTACATGCATTGACTGCCGCTTTAAATATAAAGTGGGTTGGGAACAGCCAACAAACTTTCCACTCAGTCCACTTCCTTATTGGAGGTAAAATGGAGCTAGGTTTTACTGACGGAAATTGTTATGAGAAAAAGTTTGACTCTCGGATTTATTTGGAAACATATTATGCTTCTCCGCTTGGTAATCCAATGGAAAATGATTTTTTGCCTTTTGTTCTGAAGAATTTGGTAAAAGTCTTTTCCAGGGGTGAGTAAAGTCTTCAGCTTTGTTAACTGGACTGAATTGCTCGATGTTGTTCTGAAGGGTGACACCCTAATTTGTGAATCTCTGACTGCAATCTTACAGAATAGTTACTTAGCTTATTGCTCAGTGGAATTTCTAGTTACTTTAATCAGTGTATTCAGATGTACAACCAGGTCAGGTGAGACTTGAGCACATCCTCCAGTCTCAGGTAGGAGGCACAAGAACCCCAATATACAGGGCTAGAATCTGATCCTTCTGGCTCAAGGAAGGGATATTACCACTGTGCCAGAAGAGGTCTCACAAAGTATTTCTAACAGCACAAAACAGTTGGAGGCTAAAAACAATTCCTGAATCCAATCACCATCCCACCTACCTTCCCCAGCCCCACCCCTCCTCGCCCTATTTATTTCTGAGTTCCATACCCCCTACCCTTTTCTGAAGAAGGGTCCTGACCCGGAACGTCAATTTTCCTGCTCCTCTGATGCTGCCTGGCCTGCTGTGTTCATCCAGCTCCACACGGTGTTATTCCTGAATCATAAGCTTTTAGCCAAATCAGTGCATGTTTGGAACTGATGTTCCCCCCCATTTGCATAGTCCCAGTCCTCCCACTGTTTACAACCTGAGTTACTGGACTAACAATAAAGCAGCAGGATTGGTGATAAATTAACTTAGTAGGGGGGAGAAAACAGGAATTAAAGGGGGAGAGGCACAAGTGAAAGGGAACTGATAATATTAAAAGTGTTTATAATGAGGTCAGCCGGCTGGAACTCATAGAATGTAAATTCCCTGAATGGGGCTGTTAAACTGGCCAAATGACATAAAGTGGTTGAGGCTCAGAGATACTGACTCTCTGGTACTTGACTCTATATGAAGCAATACTATAGTCAAGGACTGTTTATGTGTAAATAAAGGGATAAAGGGTGAGTTGCTGACAGGATAACAGCCTCAGTGGAGTTACTACAGAAGGTACTGGATTTAATTGGGGAATGGGGAAATGGATATTGATGTAGGAGTGACAGGACGGAATAGGAGCGGGAGTAGACTATTGAGCCGTTTTACACTGAAGTAGTGTAGATGTTCTGAGTGGTGGATCAGGCAAGACAAGCGAAGGCTTGCAGTGTTTGCCAGGAAGAGAGGAAAAGCTAATCGGGGCACATTTGACTGTGTGATGAAGAATATTCCATTGCTAACTGCAAGAGAAAATGCCAAAATCTACTGAAAGCAAGGGAATGAGGAGTAAAAATTACCATCCAAGATGGTGATGGAGTAGGACTGCTGGGCCGGAGCTCATACATTCCATCCGTTTCTTTTTATTTCTCTGAGTTTTTTTGTACCTGCCCTCGGCATTGGTGATGTCTGTATGGAGTGAAAGCCAGCACAGAACCCTGGCCCCAGCGCGGACCAGGACCCCTGGACCCAGCACGGACCCAGACCCCCGGACCCAGCACGGACCCCAGGCCCCAGCGGGGACCCCGAGCCCAGGTCCCAACGGGGACCCGGACTCCTGGTCTCAAGGTAAACCCCTGCACAGTCTGAGTTGCAATTATTCTTTTCCCGAACGCTTGTTTCTCTATTTTTCTAATACATTGACGGACTTTTAATCTTTATTTTTCTATTTTGTTTTCCCCTAAGAATTCGTACTTAAGGATCTGTACCTGGGTAGCTTGTACCTGAGATGATGCCATAAGTGGTGAAAGTAAACTTTTCACTGTGCCTACTTGAGTTCATGTGACAATAAAGATAATTTTAATTCTAAAATGGGCTGCTTAGGCCAAGAATACAGGGTTTACGAAGGCCCTAAAACAGCCAACATAAGCATGTGACCATATTATAGTCTGAAGTCCTCCCCCGCCACGGTAGGTAATGACAAACAAAAGATGCCCTTAACCCGTACCTGAGGGAGGCATTGGACCAAATACATATTCCTTCCTCAGGACTTCATTGCAATTTGTCTTCACCCTGAGTGAGACAAGTTATACCATCAGTCAATGCATTTGGAGCCACTGGCCCTCCAGGGTACATGCAACAATGGGCCAAATGGCCACCCTCCTTCAATGCTGTAACCATTCTGGGTGAGTCTAGGAGGGAAGTGATCATTTGATCTGAGGGCGAGATGAGAGGAAAGTTCAAGGGAGTATCAGTGTGGTCTTACTGAGGGAGAATTGAGGAATTGGAAAGAGAAATGTAGCGGAATGTAAAAGGCTAAGGTCACCATAATCCCATGCTGTTCCTAGAGAGAGTGGCAGCTGCTGCTCAATTTAATTTGAGCGTCACCATGTCTCAGGTCCATGATTATGTTAACTGTGTTATTGGTTCCAGCCTCTTTTTTTATCTTCTAATGGGGCATTTGTTAAATGTTTAGTCGTAATTCAGCCCTAGAGTCCTGAATTTCAACCTCCTTGGGAATCTGCCCTTGGGTCTGGCGAGGTGGCCGTTAACAGATCTGGGCAGTGGGGCATAGAAGGGGTAAATAAACACAGCTGCCTGCTGCTCATCTGTGGTTCTGTCCATGTGCAGGTCAGAACATTCTGAGGAAGGGTCACCGGATCCAAAACGTTAACTCTGATTTTTTTTCTTCACAGATGCTGCCAGACCTGCTGAACTTTTCCAGCAACTTCTGTTTTTGTTCCTGATTTACAGCATCCGCAGTTCTTTCGGTTTTTATTTACATTGCAGACCTTAACCACTTACCGTCTGAAATGGTTTTCCTCTCATCATTCTTACTTTTTTTCTCAATTAATTAAAAACCCCTCCCCTTCATTCTCCGTCCTTTTCATGAATGGGAGGAGTTTCTCTATCAAATACTCTTCACACTCTTCACCATTTCCAGCTCCAACGTAATACTGAAGGTGGGGAAAAAAAACAGGTGAACTGGGTTTCCCGATGTTGCATATTGTTGAGAAATTTCATTCCCTGATGTGCAATAGTCTAACTGTGGAGTAATATCACTATCATCAGGAAGCAATGGGGATGGTGAGAAGGAATGAAAAGTGACCCTGATTCTTGCGTACCAACTCAAGGAGGCGAATGTTGATCTTCATAAATATCCCATAGCTGTTCCATCACACTTTACAACTTTATTTCCCAACTAATGACTGGGCTTTCATTTTATTCCAGGTTCAAGATTCCACACACTGCTTGAAATTGGATGTGGTCCCTGTCTTCACTGCGCTCTCTGTGCCATGGAGCATGTGGAGGAACTTGTTTTGTCTGATTATGCTTCCAACAATCATCAGGAAATTGAGCAGTGGCTACAAAATGATCCAAGAGCTTTTGACTGGAGCCCAATTGCAAAATTTGTGTGTGAACTGGAAGGCAACAGGTAATCATAAATAGCCCTGACATGCTTTGCTGTTTTTAATAGAAAAGACTGCCTATTGGTCCATATACATGATTCAATTTATTACTGACACTTAAAGACCAAGCAAATTGTGAGTTTGATCCTTAAATTGCATTGAATTACCTGACCTCCCCTGGTGTGATTTAATTTGATTTATTATGGCTGTGTACCAAGATACAGTGAAAAGTATTGTTTTGTGTGCTATCCAAACAAATCATCATAGGTACATCAAAGTCGTAGAATGGAATGCAAAATATAGTGTTGCAGCTACAGAGAAGGTGCGGAGAAAGATCAACTTTAATATATGTGGGGTTCGTTCATAAGTCTGATAACAGCTATTCTTAAATCCGTGTATGTGCTTTCAAACTTTTGTATCTTCTGCCTGATGGAAGAGAGTATAACTGAGGTGGGAGGTGTCTTTGTTTGTGTTGGCTGCTTTCTGAAGGCAGCAGGAAGTGTAGACTGAATCAATGGAAGAAAAGCTGGTTTTTGCGATGGACTAGGTTGCATTCACAACTCTATCTAATTTCTTCAAGTCTTGGGCAGAGTAGTTGTCATACCAAGCTGTGAGGTATTTGGATAGGATGCTTTCTATGGTGCATCTATAAAAATCAGTAAGCGTTATTGTGAACATGCCGAATTTCTTTAGTCTCCTGAGGAAGTAGAGGCATTGCTGTGCTGTCTCGACTGTAGCATCAACATGAATGGACCAGGACAGATTGTTAGATATTTACTCCAAGGAACTTGAAGCTCCCGATCATCTCCACTTCAACACCATTGATACAGACTGGGTCATGTCCTCCTCTGGTGTGTGTTTGAGATCTAAATAGCTCCATCAAATTACAAAAGTAATCCAAGCAATTTGTGTTTATACTGTATCAAGGGACAAAGATCAACCGATAGAAAATCAAAAATGGATCTGCTGCAATGAGAGATTGTTGCTGCCTTTGGCTTCGATTTGTAGCTTGCATTAGAGAGTTAATTCAATTGACAAGAAAATAATCCAGTGTATTTAAAGAAAAGCAAGGGTAGGCTTAGAAAGGTGCCACCTCTGTCAGTTGCTGAGCATCCTTGTGAAATGGCCCCTAACCAAAAGCTCAGAACACTTTAAAAAATTCGATGAAAAGCTGATATCAGATACAATAACATTCTCAGTGAGTGGAAAATGTCAGACTCCTTTTGTAAGGACCCCTTCTTCTTACACCATTCTGTAACTTCGCAAATATTGGTTCCAAAAACAGAATAATCAATATGTGAAGCATTCAAGTATGGAGGGTAAGCTGGTGAGTGGAACTTGCTTAATGCTGGGGATGCAAAACACAAATTCAGTGACTGATTTGCTCCTGTTCTCTCTGCACCACCCATCCCCAAACCCCTTTCATACCCATCTTACATTTCCACCTTTTGTAGACCTTTAACTGAACTTCAACTTTGACACATTTTTGCAAATGTCTGTTTGAATGAGCTTGTCAGTTCGTGGCCGTGGAGTCCAATGGATGTGGGTTCAAGTCCCACTCTGGGTTTGAGGCACTCATTCTGGACTGGAACCTGCTGCATTTAATCCTGACTAGAAGGCTGTCCTGTTAAAGAGTTTGATCTGTTGGTTAGATATTAAATGGGTTATTGCACTTGTTCAAATGGACATGATAGATCCCAGGATTCAATGGCTACTAAACAACAATGGATAGAAAGAGCTAAAGCAGATGAGTAGTGAAAAAACTAAATGGCACAACTGGCTTGAAAAGCTGAATAGACTCTTCCCATTTCAATGTTACTTCTTTCCTTTTCTTTCACGCTACCAATCCTGCAATTTTGGTCTCTTCAGAATCTCCATTTTAAATGCTGTGACATTTGCAACCAATGTCTTCAGTCACCAAGGGCTGAGCTCTGGTTTCCTCTCCCTCACTCAACATCTGTTTCTTGTTTTAAGATGCTGTTTAGAATTCAGTTCTTAAACTAAGCTTTTGGCCATATTCCCTAAAATCGTGTTATGTGACTCTGTCCAGTTTAACTTGATCTTGTTTGTTTGAATCTCCTTGAAATGTTTCAGTTTGTTAAAAGCTGCTGTACAAACCCAACTTGTTGTTGAAGAACTTAAAGACATGACAGAGTAAGGAAATGTTATTTCTTTAAATGAACATCAGCTGACAGAAATACTGTTCTTCACCTATTTGTGCACATCAGCCAGCAGAGTTCTTCCCAAAACTCAGTCATCACTAAGTTTTTGCTGTGGATTATCCGCTCAACTGGAAACTTGTCACAGCAAACATTAAGTTTGAAATTCACAAAGCAAGTCATCCCCTTTTAACATGGGACACATTGAGTGTAATCTTTGTAGATTCTTGCTTCAGACACTGAGTTTGTATCTTTCAGGGAAAAATGGCCCGAGAAAGAAAAGAAACTGAGAGATTCCATCAAGCAAATTTTGAAGTGTGATGTTCATCAAAATAACCCTCTGTATCCTGTGGAATTAGAGCCCGTTGACTGTCTGATGACTTCTTTGTGTCTGGAAGCTGCCTGTAAAGATAAAGTAGCTTACTGCACTGCAGTTAGAAATGTAACCTCTCTGTTAAAACCTGGTGGGAAGCTCATTATGATCTCTGTTTTGAACGAGACCTTTTATACAGTGGATAAGTACAAGTTCTCATGCCTGAAACTTGATCAGGCCTTTTTGGAAAAAACTTTGAAGGAGGCAGGTTATGAAATAGAACAATCTGAAATGTTTATTGCTCCTAAAACTGTAAATACTACATCAGACTGTGAGGCAGCAATCTTCTTGGTTGCTCGCAAGAGTGTTTTGTCCTGAATCAGTAATGCAACTGTTGTAGATTTATTCTGTTGAACTCTGACTAAAGTTTTAACAATTAAAGCACATTATTAAAACAAATCAAAATACTTGTTTATTATTGAGTTTATTTATCTTTGCTGCTTTACTCACCCTTAAGAAACACAGTGTGCCCAGTTTTCTGAGGATTGATAATCTTACACAGGTTACCACTCCAACTTTTCTAATAAAAGAAAGGGTTCCACACTTCTGATTGGAGATTCTGTTCAAGGCTCCCTCAGAAATACAGACCAGTGTTTCCATTCAAACTTTTCTTTTGCAGCGTAGAACTGTTAAAGGAACATAAACCATACTCCCTTTTCACAACAGTAAGCTGCCATATTCAGAAAATGTAAGTGTTTGATTATGGTGCCATTCCTTATTACAGTGATTATATGCAACATTAGCACTTGCCACATCCCTTCTGACTGTTCTGCCCCTCCCTAGACATTTGCCAGTCGCATCTTAATGAGCGGGTGCTGTTTGGTACCTTGTGAAGCTACAATTGTGTTCCCAAGGTCATAACGACTATGTAATGATTTGTGATTGCCCCCTTGCAAAGTTGTCTGTTTCCCAGTGTCCTTTCATAAGGTTATCTGTTTGTACCCTTCATTATATGCCATTTGGTCCTTGCTATTTACACCATTCATCCTTTAGTTCCCCCCTACTGATGGGATAGGGTCTTTTCTCTACAATGTACAACTATTTGTCTAAAGGAATTCAGCTAAATTCCTTAATGTTAGTTTTAGTTGTACTTATAATTTCAGTATACCTACATGTATAATATGTAATGGTAATTTCTTAAAGAGTTTTTAATTATGGTGGGATCAGACTTTCCCTTTTACACTTTACAAAATAACGAGATTTCACTTTCCCATTTAGGAAAATGAAGTGTCTCAGAGAAATCTATCTGGTTGTCATGAGCATTAAGGCCATGATTCTGACTATGAAAACTGCTGCCTCAACTAATAATTCTCTTCAGCCATGGGCAACTCCAACAATCCCCCATTTAGGCACTTGGCTGACATCTTGTGGCACTGACCTAGACAATAATGCCTGTTTTCCCAACCTTTGCCAACTACATTTCCAATTTATTTCATTATCCCATTGTTATGTTCAATTAACCCTTAAAGGTATGTTTCGAAGATGTCATTTTTGAAGCACATACCTGTTGTTCAATAATCGCAAGCTGATTAAAGATATGATAAAGTTTTAAGATCGGCTTGTGCTTAACTGGCAACAGATTATGTATTTACTTTCTTATACCAGATCTGAAGCTGGTCCCACTGTTGGCAATATTCTGTCCATCACTCGGCCCGTGAAGGTGGTCAAATGGCACTCAAATGCCTGCTAATATTGCTTTGCTAAGACACAGGACTTTTATTCCATAGCCCCCACCATGGTGGCCTGAGTCCCATTTCCAGATGCTCCCTCACAGCACACTCAACATAGAATCACACTTCCCAGATCTCATTCACCTCCTCCCAAAACAGTGACCTGCAGTTCACACTCTCACATTCACCAATACAGCACCAGGCCTTGGGTTCAATGAAAGCCTCAAGTTGTGTTACTCCTGCAATCACAGACTCCTGCAATCATTTACTGCTGACGGGTTCACTAGTGAGCAGCTCCTTTCAAAATCTTCTCATTACACTTCCCTGTATTTTGAACAAAGGCTCTGCTGGCGACAAAGTACCCGACAGCAGAAACACCTTGACGAGCCTGATTAACCAATTCCCTTTGAATCCTAATAATTGAGTGGTTTCTCGCTTGAGCTTTCTATGCTGCAGCAAAAGTAGTCTCAACCTTTTCTTGGACCACAGATTACCTTCATGCATCAACTTAATTCGTCTTGTGGCAAGAATAACATTGCTGTATTAGAGATTGGCATTATGTAGGATACAAGTGAGATCTATGTGTTTTCTAGATACCTAACAAATGATCAGCACAATTGGTAGCCATTTTGAAATTTTGAGATGTACTGCCATAAAAACAGAACATAAATTTCAGAAACTGCAGTGAGTCTAAAAAGACACTGAACACAATGGCCATGCCAAAACTTCTATATGCAATGCCAATCTCCAATACAACAATGTTATGCTTGCCACAGAAGGAATTAGCTTGATGCATGAAGGTAATCTGTGGTCCAAGAAAAGTTTCAGACTATCTTTTCTTTTACTTTCTTAATCCAGAATTGCCATGTTTCTATGTCCATCTCAGTAAAACCACACTTTTTGTTCTTAATTAAGCATTACTTCTTTGTTGCCTTCACGAGTGTGCTCTCTTTATTTTCACATATTATGGACCAGACCCCCTCAAAATAGTTCAAGAAGCTAAATTTTTCTTATTTTAAAGGTAGTTGTGAAGTGGGTGTTCCAGATGCGATGTGACTGGTCAAACTACTCAATGTTAAGGAAAATACAATTTATTTAGACACTATAGTTAAATACAAACAAAAGAAAGAGGAATTTAGAATAACTTGACTATTGAAAAACTTAACCTCATAATAGATACAGTACCTACGACTAATCAACTGTTCCAATATAGTAACATCCCATAAGCACACCCCTTGGCAAAAAGGAAAGTTCAGACACAGATTCTCACATGCAGTTCTGCAATCCAAGAGGAAGAAAACATCGAGAAAATTCAGAGAGTGTAGCAGCCAAGAGACATTCACTGAAGCTTCCAACTCTTTTGAGACCCCAAGAGCTTCTGATGTTACTGAAAAAAAAACAAAACCCAGAAATCTGGATCTGTGAGAGCTGGCCACACCCATTAAAGCTGTAAAGAAAAAACCCAAGGCGTCACAAGTTGTCTTCAGTATACAGTTCAACACTATCTGCCTTACAATCTCTCTCCAAAAAAACCCAGGACAAAATAACCTTTTAAAGTGACAGCATCATCACACTCACTTCTGTGTTCTGTGCTCATATTTCCCAAGATGTTTTACTTTTCACCCATGGTTTTCACATCTAATATTGCAGTTCAGTCTGTCTCCTGAGCTCAGAGTAATCCTCATTATATTTTTTGTATTTTTTCAGTATTTGGAACAATTGCATTCCAATTTGGATGTCCCAGTGGCTCAGTGGTTAACACTGCTGCCTCATAAGCAGGGACACAGGTTTGATTCTAATCTCAGGTGACTATCTGTGTGGAGTTTGCACATTGTTCCTGTGTCTGCATGGGTTTCCTCCGGGTGCTTCGGTTTCCTCCCACAGTCCAAAGATGTGCAGACTAGGTGGATTGGCCATGCTAAATTGCCCATAGTGTCCAGGGATGTGCAGGCTAGGTGGATTAGCCATTGGAAATGCAGGGTTACAGGGATAGGGTAGGGGAGTGAGACTGGTGTTGGATGCTCTTTGGAGGGTCAGTGTGGAATCAATAGGCCAAATGGCCTGCTTCTAAACTGTAGGGATTCAACAATTCTCTGATAATTGTTACTTGGATATATAGAGTTTGAATCTTGCAGAAAAGAGAGAATGTTGCCTAAACATTTTGTCTTGGATATATCAGGATAAATGCAAGAATGGCAAATTTGAAACAAACACGACAATTTGTTCCACAGGAGAAAAAGGGTGCTGATTGGTTGTCAAGTCAACTTTGCCTGAACAAGGCAATGTGCTGGAGAAAACAAAGGGGAACTATTGGCTTCCCATGCTTTTGGGTAAGTCAAGCATTTAAGGCAGTTCATTTATACTTGCTCAAAGTGACATGCATTCAGACCCTGGCATCAGTTCTCTGCCAACTAACAGAACATGTTCAAACCTTGTGCCATTCTTTCACTACCTGGAATCACTGTTCTTTTCAGCAATAATTCTAAATCAATTATTTTGCTACAAGAATGGCATATCAGTGGAGTTGGTAATCATGATGTATCCTACATCTTCACTACAGGATCATTATTTCCAGTCTGGCTGGGATAAGCACAAACCGACGATTGTGTTGCTCTGCAAAACAGCAGCCTATGCACCAAGTAACTTTCTCCTCCTCTAATGGTGAAGAAGAGGAGCAGCATGAAAGGCCATGATTCTGACATAATTTAGTGAATAACAAAACAAAGATTTAATTTAAATAGTTTTTATTTCAGTTTATGAATGTGTAAGCTCTTCTTCCTTGGACAACACTATACAGACACTGATCGCATTTGAATAACAATTTTTCTCCATGACTATAAAGTAAAGAGGAGATTTGATAGAGCTACTTAAAACCATGCAGGAACTAGACAAAGTAAGTTAGGAAGAAACAGTTCCCCTTGGCAGAAGAATTGAGAATTAGAGGACACAAATTTTAAGGTGACTGGCAATGGAAGCAATAATGACATGAGGAATTAAGTAATTTTACACAAGGAATGGTTAGCATCTGTAATGCATTGTCTGAGTGTCGTGGTGGCAGATTGAATTAAGGCTTTCAAGAGAGAATTGGGTCACTATCTGAAAAGAAAAAGATGGCAGGATTATGGGCTGTAATTGGTTAACTTGCCCTTTCAGACACCCAGTACAACACAGGATACAACAAGTCGAATAGCCCATTCTGTGCTGTAAACATTCTATCGATCTCTGGGATAAGTGAGACATTAATACTTTCCTTGTCAGACTTCGTTGTAACAGCCAGTATTTATTGCGTAATGTCACGGCCAGTGAAAAGTTTACATTGTTGACACGGATATTCTCTTGGGTCATCCCTTAATGTTTATTATTTAATTCAAAGAAAAGCAATTGAACTTTAATCACATCTTTTTTGATTGATGATTACTCATATCTTCTTTCTTGGGGTAAAGCAATACCATGCAATCAATATTTTCCCTATCTCTGTAACTTGGTAGCATAGAGATCCTCTCCTTTAGATTCAAATGATCCAATCAGATCATTTGAACTTTAATTCTAGGTATTTGATTGGGCATACAAATTTACCATTGCCAATAAGATGCTTCATTTTAATGAACAAGCTGTTTATAGGTTTCAGTGAAGGTTTCATTCTCGAGCAGAATTGACTCTTTCCCTGGGTTTGAAACAACCTGGCCACTTCAGAAATGATGACGAAAATCATGACCTTAATGAAACAACATCAACAATAAATACAACACTTTAAGAAAACAGCTCATTCTGTGTTTAAAATAAATGTGCAGATTTTCCCATTACAGCTTCTCTTGCGAAATCTGTGAAATACAAACATGCATAGGCTGTTGGATTCCATTCATTTAGGTTGAGAGAGTCCATTCTCGAAGAGTCCAAGTGAGGGCAGGGATGCTTCCTACCAATATCCAGCTATGTCTGGAGTAGTCAGCAGAGCTATCAATATTACAAAAGTCGGTGGAGCAGCAAAAAATTTTTCTACCTCCAATGATTATATCACTGGCATCAGCGGTACACTCCGAATGATACGAACATTTCTTGGTGACCCTCACAATGCCAAGTCCAGCTGTAACAGAATAGATAGATTAGGTTACCTTATCATAGGTTCGTCTACCATAATATTTTAAATATAATCGGCATTAATCATTAAAGCTATTACTTGTTTAAATTGGATTCATCAGAATCTTTCCCATTTCAGTGGACAGGTGGCTTTGTGATGCAGTGGGTATCTCTACATCAGAGACTCCAGGTTCAAGTCCCACTCCTGGACCTGATGGCTATGAAAGGTGTGATCATAATGGAGCCAAACAGGTAGATCATCAAATTGGGGATCCTTCCTAAAGGCTTATGGTAAGAGCAGAAGAGTTTCTTGGTCAGACATGCTTAATGTGGAGTTTCTTCCTTCAAACCACAGTCTCTGATGGCTGAGGAATAAAGAGTTAACTATACCTTTACTCTAAGAAGAAGTACTGAGCATGTGCATTAAGACCAATATTGTAGTGACATTAAATCACATAGAACTGAAACTTGTGTCAGTCAGGTTCCAGAAGATGTACTCTTTCACCATCCCTGGTACATATTATGTTCAATAAAGCCTGTTAATGTTTACTCACCCGAGTAACTGAAGTTGCACCATGGCTCAGTGGTTAGCACTGCTGCCTCACAGTGCCAGGAAACTGGTTTTGATCCAGCCTTGGATGACTGGCTGTGTGAAGTTTGCATATTCTCCCTATGTGTGCATGGGCTTCCTCTGGGTGCTCCAGTTTCCTCCCATAGTCCAAAGATGTACAATTTATGTGGATTAGCCATAGTAAATACAGCGATAGGGTGGGTGGCTGGGTCTGTGTGGAATGTTCTTTGGAGTGTTGGTGTGGACTTGATGCACTGAATGGCCTCTTTCCACACTGTAGGGATTCTGTGAGTGTGGGCTTGATCTAACAACATGATACTTTGTGTGATTTTTTAAGTAATATTCTTCCTTATAGAATGTGGATGCCAATTTGGCTTTGAACTTCCTTCATTTAGCAAATATGGAAGATGCTGAAGTTGACTCAATGTGCCTTGAATCAGTCTAATTGCTAGGGCACTGGAAGACAGTACAGATCTTTCTTTTCCCTCATGATGAGACTCCATAAGGTGGGCAATAAAGGTCACATAGTTGAAGTTGCAAGACTCTATGACTAGGACTAATACATTCTAGACCATTTTTTCAGGACCAGGTGACTCATGATGAAGATGCTGGTAATGCTGTTAATTTAATGAAGCTGATGTACCAAACCTTTCCATACCCTTGGATTTGAACATCTCAGTTTGATTCTGCTGAATCTTTGAATAAGGTAACTAGGAAAATAAAATTGTAAACTTATTCCAATGTCCTGACCAATGACAATAGCAACAGTATCAGCAATCCCTGTGACAAAGAAGGAAGCACTAGAGGGCTGCAGAAAGAGACCGCCATCCTGAAGTGTCAGCTGTACCCGCAAAACTCTTCAGAAAAGAGTTGGACCTTGGCAAAGTTGCAGGCAAAAGTAAAGGATCTGCCAATGTTGCAGCTTGAGTGCAACTGATATGCACAAATGGTTTATAGCCGAACAATTAAAAGACCAGCAGCTTAAGAAGAGCTTATACTACAAGTGAACATAGATGAAGCTTGAATATCATCTGTATCTGAAGGAATCAGTATATCTGAGTTGGCTTGGACCTTGAAGTTAGAAATGGATACTTGATCGTGAGGTCTCAAAGTTTCAACTAGACATATGGACATCGAAGCTTCAGGAAGGGAGCATGATGTTGACCCTTATCAACAAACGTCAGCTGTACGTAGCAGACCTTTACAATCATCAACATGGATTTGATACAAGTGTGGAGCTGGAGGAACACAGCAGGCCAGGCAGCATCAGAGGAGCAGGAAAGCTGACGTTTCGGATTGGGACCCTTCTTCAGAAATGGGGGAGGGGGATGGGGGGTCAGAAATAAATAGAGAGAGGAGGGGTGGGACTGGGGAAGGTAGGTGGGATGGTGATAGGTGAGTGTAGGTAGGCAGTGGTGGGGATTGGTCAGTGAGGTGAGGGGAGCAGATAGGTGGGAGAGAAGGCGGACTGAATGCATTTGATACATTCAGGGAAAAAGGTAAAGCCTCAAGAACAATCTGTCAAGAGTTGGTTTCAACAACTACAAGCAGGTAATAAAAAGCTACCCAGAGAAAAAGACGTCTAATTTTAAAAATGAACAAATATCAGGCCAATAATCAACATTTAGAACCGATTGACCTCCATAAATGGCAGCCGGACTGTGAATAATATCAGAATGCCATAGACACACTTGATGTTTTTAACAGTAAACAGGTAGAGGCTCAAATTCTAAAGCTTTTACAGCTGGAGCTGGCTAACCAAGAGTAATTGAGATGCAGCTATCTTAAAAAGACTGCTGAACTAAAAGCTCAGCTATTTGCAGCCACACAACAAAAATCAAGCCTTGGAGCCTGACAAAGAAAATATTACAGTAGATTTCCATAAGCCTTTGTGCAGAGCAAGTCAATATTCTCATGCAATTGGTTCAACAGAGAGATGCAAGGGAAAGATTCTTTTCGACTGAATTGTTCAGAGTTTCAAGATCTCTGTGAATTATTTAAGAAAAACAATCTTCAATCAATGAATAATAACTTCACAGACTTGCAGAAGTGAGTTCAGAGTTCATTGTTGACATTTACAAAAGTCAGTCACGGGGATTTCAGTCCTTGTTTATGAAAGTATATAGCTACAGAAGCTAATGATCTTTTGAAAAAGGAATTAGAACTAATGGCAAAGGACACATAGACCTTAAATCTTCTTCTTCTGGTCAGTCCAAATATTTGGATGACACTATGACGAGTAGCCAAGAACGTCTTGACATCCTATGATTATCCTATTTTTCTGCCTAGTTCGTAGACCAGAGTGTTACACAAAAACTTCCAATTCACCTTGTTCCAGAAGTTAGTTTTGTTGTTAATATCGCTGCATTCCACTTCCAGAAGGATTTCCTAAGATGTTCTTATCTACAGAGGAGCAGTCTCATGCTAACACAAATGTGTCCCTTCTTCAGAGAGTGCCACAAGTGCATGTGAGAGAGCTAATTTCAGTTCGTCATCTTCCCCTTCAAAGGGTTCTGATAGTTCGAGTGCCTGAGGCTTCCCTGTATCACACTGATCTTCACTGCTATTTAGGTCAGAACCAGCTGTTCTAAGGAGTCACCAGTCCTTCCCTGACAATGATGAGGGTGCATATACTTCCTACAACTCTGCCAAGAAAGCTAAGAACATTGTTGAGGACTAATGCCTCAAGTGAAAGAGACTTGTTGGGGTGGTGGGTATGGTGGAGAAAGAGTGAGATTCAAGAGTTAAATGTTAATGTTAGATGTTATTCGTTAAAAAGGACACTGTGGAAGAACTTAAGGGCGGATGTGGATTAAAGGGTTAGATATACTTTTACTCGACTCAGTATTTGCATAAGGAGCTATGCCACAGTAATATCATATCCCATGAAATTTGAGCCTGATTCTGTATGGTTGCAAATGAGACCATCACCCTTACCATCCCTTATATGTAATTATCTCAATAAAGCCTGTTAATGTTCATTTGTCTGAGCTTAGACTTGATCTTACTACAGTGACAGGCTAGCAACTTGTTCCAGGAAATGTGTAGCAACTGAAACAGACATGAGCATGTAATTCGTTGGCCGCATATGCCACTCAGTGTTAAGTGGAGGATATAAGGTGAGTTTCTTTCTTTTCTTCTTCTCCTTCCCTCCTCTAACTCCTGTTGGGGTTTCCTAGTTCCAGTTACTGTCCTCTAGTGGACTCTGTTAACTATTATTCATGGAATTGTACAGCACAGAAGAAAGATATTTGGCCTTATGTTTCGCTGTTCTTTGAAAAAGCTATTAAATTAATTCCAATCTCCTGCTTTCCTTGCTTAGCACTGTAAATACTCTCACCTTATTCTTTGTCATTTAAGGAAGATGACCCTTGCTCCACTGCATGTGTGATCCATTTTAGGGACTCTCAACAAGCTAATCAACTGAGGGTGGGAGAGAATCCCCAAATGAAGCTCAATCTTTTCTTTAGCAAAAAAAAAGATGGTTGTTATTTCTCTCCCTCACTCAATGCTGTTGAGGCCAATCGTGTCACTACCAGAATCACCCTTGGTTGATGTGTATTTTTCTGATATTCATTAGCTCATCTAACATTGCTCTGCTGTTAGAGAGAATTGGTGTCTGCACATGATTGTGATAAACAGTCACAAACCAGTGAAAAACTCTGCTGAGGCATTACCTGTGAGAAAATGGTCTAAATTAATTATTGGGTCACCTACAAGCTTACTGCTACATCCTTGGAAATCTCTGGCTGCAAAGCAATGAACATCTTTACTTATAGAAATTAAGTGGTAATTGATTTCATGTCAAAATTGCAGTGTGTTACAATCACAAGGTTCTGAATTCAAGTCCCAGTCCAGAGGCTGAATATAAAAATCGAGGCTGACATTTACAGTGCAGTGCAGCACTAAGGGAGCAGTGCTATATCAGAAATTCTACCTTTCATTAGAGACATTAAACCAATCTACCTGCCTGGGTGGGTGCAAAAGACTTCTTAGTACTGTTTCAAAGAAAAACAGAGGAAATACCCTGGCAATCTGCCCAATAATTATCCTTCAATCAACATCAGCCAAAGAAAATGTGGCCATTAGTATAATTCTATGTGTGGGGGCTTCCTGAATACAAATTAGCTGCATCATTTCTTATATTGCAACTCTGATGTCAGGCCTGGTTCAGGTATGTCAGCTTATAAATTTATAGTCAATGATTTTTGAAATAAGACACAAAAGTGCTGTTGAGATGTTTGGAGAGAATCATGAGATGTCTGGCATGGGGACAAAAAGTATCAAATCTGTACTGAGTATCTAATTAAATATGAATGTAAGTAAGGGAACTTCACAAACTTCTGTGGAATTCACTTACCTCATTGTTCAAGAATGGACCAACATCTAACAAATGTGGAGATTCTGGAATATCAACTTACATGTTTCACAATGGACAAAAAGCCAAGACATTAAGCACTATCAACACTCCATTATACCGTGATGGTTTCTCTAACACAATCTAAGCTAGATGTTCCTCAAAGGTGTTTACTTAGCATTCATAGGATTGGCCTTGGGGACTGTTATCTTATCATTTCCAGGATCTAGCCAATTCACCAGCATCATCAGCCAGATGATACAGATCAGACTTGAAAATAAGTTAAAGTCATCAAGCAGCTCAAATATTTCACTTGTTGCAGTTTCAAGTTCACCTGGGAGTCAACTCCCTAGGTATTTGACTACAAGAAATCTCACCATTTGTTGTGCACCCTTTGCTTTATAAAGATCCTTACATCAATTTTAAATCACCATTGAAGAAACCACAGGCCTGCGACATGGGAAACTTGAAATTGTAATTCGAGTTTAAATTAACTATAACCTATAAAAATGCATTATCTTCATCAGTATTCGATCTTCCTATTTGTATATAAGACCAACTGTGTGGTTTTATATTAATTCAGGGTTAAGTATGTGAGAATACATAACCTTATTTTAAACTCTCAAAGGCTGATGTTGAATGATTAGTTGGAATATATATTCAAGGATGATAAGAATAGATATATTTCCTTCCACACACGGTCACTAAAAGAGCACATACAGTCAGCCTGTAATAGTTGCTACACAGCAGGAGTACTTCATTAGCTTAAAAATGCTTTTGAACATCCTGTCATCATGAGCAGCACTATATTGATGTAGGACTTCATTTTCCTTTCTTTGATTTTCAATACTTCTGGTAATTTGAATTGTGCCATCTGAAATTCAATAGATATTTTCTGGAACTTTTAATATGCATTATTAGTACATCCTTTCTCATTCTATAACAAATACATGATAGACGTTTGAAAAGAAGTAGTCAGAATGATCCCCAAGACAAGAAATTATTGGGATATAGCTGTCTTTCTCATGCCTTTTATGTGAAATATTTTTTCAAAAGTGATATGTACTCACCCTGGCTAAATCCTATTGTTTTCACAGAGGTGAGGCACACTGTTTTGTTAGATGGACATAACTGGTATTGTGAATTGCATTCCTCTATTAATCTGGTGTCGATACATTGGTAGCAGCTCAAGGTTTCAGCTGTAACATTAATCAAGGGTTATACAAGCTGTGATGTCTTGGTATTATGTCAGGAACAAACTATAGAACATAGTTGCAAGAGGTAATTTGCAAACCAAATCTATTAATATAAATCTACACAGTAAAATTACAGTTTTCCCAGATTCATGCAGCAACAATAGCATGTAAGTAATTGGTGACTATGAATTTATCATCGAAACACTGGAATGAAGCCAGGTGTGTGCGCGCGCACATACACACACACACACACGTATACACACACATATATATACATACACACATATATACACACACGCACGTACATATGCACATATACACACACACATACACACATGTATGCACACACACACACACAAACCACACTCTCCAGGTTTAAGAGTATCAAGCAGGTCATGCTGCTCCCATGCACCTCCTATCCAGTTGTTTTGAGGTGTTGAGGATCTGGGAAGATTCTATGATGCTGAAGAACTATTGTAAAGTTGCTTAAAGGCACAACTTAACATAGGGCAGGAATGATCACTTAAGACTTCTGGTCACATGGTTTACAGGCAGGATGGAGAGATGGTTACAAAGAGTTGGGGATAACAACATTGAGTAAATTAGAGGTCACAGCACTGAGGAGGGATGTTATAGTGGAAGGATCATCGAATCTAACACCACAGATGGAGGGAGCTAGGGAACAGAAAAGGAGCAGTCACACTGCTGGAGGTGTACAAGAGATGTCTAAACAGTGAGAATCATAGGATCATACAATACAGTACCTTAGTACCAGTAGGTCTGTACCATCAAAATATAAACGATTACACTCGTTCCATTTTCTTGCACTAGGCCCATAGCTTAAATATAATGACACTTCAAGTGCTCATCCAAGTACATTTTAAAGGTTGTGAGGTTTTCCCGCCTCAACTACCTCCTCTAGGCAGTGCATTCCAGATCTCCACCATCTTCTGAATAAAAACTATTTTGCTCAAATCTCCTCAAAACCTTCTGCCTTTAATTTTAAAAGTGCTTTCCCCTTGTTCTCGATGCCTCGACTAAGGGGAATAGCTGTTTTCTATCCACCCTGTCCATGTCCCTCATAAGCTTATACACCACAATCAGGTGCCTCCTCAAACCTTGTCTGCTCCAAAGAAAACAACCTGAGCTTATAGCTAAAATTCTGTATCCAATGGCAGCATCCCGGTGAATCTTGTCAGCACCTGGAGAGTGTGGGTGTTTATATGAATGTGTACTTGCATTCTCTTTCTCCCAAGTAAAGGCAGATGAGAAGTACTTGTTTAAAACACTCTACCAGTGCCCTCTGACTTCACTCACGGATTGCCTCCTTGGTCTCTGATAGGCCTTGGTCTTCACTGGTTATTATCTTTCCCTTGATATCCTCGTAGAATATCTTTGAATTCTCGCAAATCTTGCCCACCAGTGTTTTCTTAGTTGAGGTAGAAGAGCAAATACGTAGGCAAGTTTGCTGAGGCTTGCAATAACTAGCATGGTAAGAGTAGGGGATTTTAGTAACTCTGATATGACTTGGGATATAATACAAATTTATCAAGGAAAAAACAGAGTACTTCCTAACTGGTGAAAAGATAGAAACAGTAGTGGTCCAAAGAGACTTGAGGTTTAGTTACAGATCGTAAACATGAAGAAAATAATTAAAAGACTAATGCTGCCCTTTATATCAAGCAGAATTGAATACGAGAGTGTAGAGGTCATACATCAGCCCATACCTGGAATATTACATGTAATTTTTGGCACCTAAGAAAGGATACATTGACATTTGAGGGAAAGCAGTTAGATTTGCTGAAAAGAAACTGGAGGAGCAACATCTCATCTTCAGACTAGGCACTTTACAGCCTTAAAGTTCAACACCTTTAAAATGTGAGAGAGATAGTAGGAACTGCAGATGCTGGAGAATCTGAGATAACAAGGTGTAGAGCTGGATGAACACAGCAGGCCAAGCAGCATCAGAGGAGCAGGAAGGCTGACGTTTTGGGCCTAGATCCTTCTTTAGAAAATGAAATGAATGAGAACCATTTCTTCCCTTTCTTTCAGTTTGTCATCATGTTCACCCCTCCCCCATCCCAGTTACTGCCTTTTCAAGTCTGGCAGGAGACACACCATTGTTCTGCACCTTGTTGTCTCGGATTCTCCAGCATCTGCAGCTCCTACTATCTCTGATTCAATTTTAACCCCACTGCGAAGCCTCTTCTAAGGATGCCTAACCTGAAGAAGTTACCCTCCTCCCTCCGGACAAACCTCAAGGGATCTCTCTCCCACTGCAACTCTCTCGTAATCTCTTCGGCCCTGAAACTGCTCGACCACGTCCTGAAGCAAACCAGGTACTACAGCCACATCACCTTCCTTAGCACCTGCCTACGGAACCAGATCATCCCCAATGGACTACAATCCACATTCAAGCCTTCCCAATTTGGCCCCAACTGTGATAATATCTACACTCATGGTATTGAGATCCTTCAAAAGCGTTTCTCCCTGCGACTCCTGAAACACACACTTGCAGCAATGCGCCAGCATCTCCAGGCACTACAATCAAGCCTACCCCAGCTCAGAGCCTCCCTCTCCCCAGACCTGCAAAGGACCTCTCCTGTTTTTTATTCTTCATAGGATCCACAATCTGAACTCACAATTCTACTCAGCTTTATTGGACACTAAAAACCGTAAGTACAGTAAACTTACTGGTGCCTACCACCCAAAACGGGCTTCCTCCACCCCCCAAATCCCCAGCCGTACCCAGGACCTTCCCCACAATGGGTCCGCCGCCATTGGCCATGAGGCCACTATCGGAGAACCCACAGATGACGTCACATCCGCCACCGCCGGGTTCCCCACTTCCGGGACAGCAAACACCATCGCTGCCGTTGCCACCGACACTGAAGTCGCGACCACCCTCACCGCTACTGCCGCCGCCTACCCCGCTCCTCCTACCTCCGACGCCGGTCCGCCCATCACCGACGCGGACGCAACTCCGCCCACCGCCGACGCAACTCCGCCCACAGCCGACGTCGGCACAACTCCGCCCACCGCCGACGCAGGCACAACTCCGCCCACCGCTGACGCAACTCCGCCCACCGCCGACGCAACTCCGCCCATAGCCGACGCCGACGCAGCTCCGCCCACAGCCGACGCCGACACAACTCCGCCCACAGCTTCCACAGCCAGCAGCTCCAGAGGAGACAGTAGCATCCAGCCCTGCCAAGTCTTCACCATCCCCCCAGACCTACCCCTTACTGAGGACGAACGGTCAGTCCTCAGTAAAGGGCTCACCTTTGTCCCCCTCCACCCACAGATCAATGAATACCGCTCACGCTTGGACATAGAGCAGTTTTTCCGCTGCCTCCGCCTCCACGCTTACTTCTTTAACCGTGAACCTAACCCTCCCTCTACTGACCCCTTCTCCTGCTTCCAACACACCCCCTCCTCCTGGACACCACCACAAGGCCTCCTACCCTCCCTCGACCTCTTCATCTCCAACTGCCGTCGAGACATCAATCGCCTCAACCTCTCCACCCTTCTCACCCACTCCAACCTCTCCCCCGCAGAACGTGCAGCCCTCCGCTCCAATCCAACCTCACCATAAAACCCGCGGACAAGGGAGGCACAGTTGTAGTATGGCGCACTGACCTCTACATCGCCGAGGCCGGACACCAACTCTCCGACACCTCCTCCTACCGCCCCCTTGATCATGATCCCACCCCTGAGCACCAAACCATCATCTCCCAAACTATCCACAACCTCATCACCTCAGGTGACCTCCCACCCACGGCCTCCAACCTCATCGTTCCCCAACCTCACACTGCCCGCTTCTATCTCCTTCCCAAAATCCACAAACCTGAATGCCCTGGTCGACCCATTGTCTCCGCCTGCTCCTGCCCCACCAAACTGATCTCCAACTATCTAGACTCCATTTTCTCCCCCTTGGTCCAGGAACTCCCTGCCTATGTCCGTGACACCACCCACGCCCTCTACCTCCTCCAGAACTTCCAATTCCCCGGTCCCCAACACCTCATCTTTACCATGGACGTCCAGTCCCTCTACACCTGCATTCTCCATGCAGATGGCCTTAAGGCCCTCCGCTTCTTCCTGTCCCGCAGGCCCGACCAGTCCCCCTCCACTGATACACTCATCCGCTTAGCCGAACTCGTCCTCACACTCAACAACTTCTCTTTCAATTCCTCCCACTTCCTACAGACAAAGGGGGTAGCCATGGGTACCCGCATGGGCCCAAGCTATGCCTGCCTCTTTGTAGGTTACGTGGAACAATCCCTCTTCCGTACCTACACCGGCCCTAAACCCCACCTCTTCCTCCGTTACATTGATGACTGTATCGGCGCTGCCTCGTGCTCCCACGAGGAGCTCGAACAGTTCATCCACTTCACTAACACCTTCCACCCCAACCTTAAGTTTACCTGGACCATCTCTAACACCTCTCTCCCCTTCCTGGACCTCTCTGTCTCCATATCGGGCAACCACCTAGAAACCGATATTCATTTCAAGCCCACCGACTCCCACAGCTACCTAGAATACTCCTCCTCCCACCCACCTTCCTGCAAAAATGCTATCCCCTATTCCCAATTCCTTCGCCTCCGCCGCATCTGCTCCCAGGATGAGGCATTCCACTCCCGTACATCTCAGTTGTCCTCGTTTTTCAAGGACCGTAACTTCCCCTCCTCGGTGGTCGAGAACGCCCTCAACCGTGTCTCCCACATCTCCCGCACCTCATCCCTCACACCCCGTCCACGCAATAAGAACCAAAAAAGAATCCCCCTCATCCTCACGTACCACCCCACCAACATCCGGATCCAACGCATCATCCTCCGACACTTCCGCCATCTGCAATCCGACCCCACCACCAAAGACATCTTTCCCTCCCCACCCTTATCTGCTTTCCGGAGGGACAACTCTCTCCGTGACTCCCTTGTCCGCTCCACACGCCCCTCCAGCTCCACCACACCCGGCACTTTTCCCTGCAACCGCAGGAAGTGCTACACCTGCCCCCATACCTCCTCCCTCACCCCCATCCCAGGCCCCAAGAAGACTTTCCACATCAAGCAGATGTTCACCTGCACATCTGCCATTGTGGTATACTGCATCCGCTGTACCCGGTGTGGCTTTCTCTACATCGGGGAAACCAAGCGGAGACTCGGGGACCGCTTTGCAGAACACCTACGCTCGGTTCGCAATAAACAACTGCACCTCCCAGTCGCGAACCATTTCAACTCCCCCTCCCATTCCTCAGACGACATGCCCATCCTGGGCCTCCTGCAGTGCCACAACGATGCCACCCGAAGGTTGCAGGAACAGCAACTCATATTCCGCTTGGGAACCCTGCAGCCCAATGGTATCAATGTGGATTTCACAAGTTTCAAAATCTCCCCTCCCCCTACCGCATCCCAAAACCAGTCCAGCTCGTCCCTGCCTCCCTAACCTGTTCTTCCTCCCACCTATCCCCTCCTCCCACCTCAAGCCGCACCTCCATCTCCTACCGACCAACCTCATCCCGCCCCCTTGACCTGTCCATCCTCCCTGGACTGACCTATCCCCTTCCTAACTCCCTACCTACACTCACCTTTACTGGCTCCATCCCTGCCTCTTCGACCTGTTTGTTTCCTCTCCACCTATCCTCTCCTCTATCCCTCTTCTATCCGCCTCCCACTCTCTCCCTATTTATTTCAAAACCCCCTTCCCCTCCCCCTTTTCTGATGAAGGGTCTAGGCCCGAAACGTCAGCCTCTCTGCTCCTATGATGCTGCTTGGCCTGCTGTGTTCATCCAGCCCTGCACCTCGTTGTCTCGGATTCTCCAGCATCTGCAGTTCCTACTATCTCTCACACCATTGTTCTGTCATTTTCACATTCTAATAACTTAATCTGAACTATCAACACTTTTTCTCTGCCAGCACCCTACACCCACTACCCCCACACTCCCATCCCCCAAAACTATAGCATAAATGCCATGAGATAGTAGGAACTGCAGATGCTGGAGAATCTGAGATAACAAGGTGTAGAGCTGGATGAACACAGCAGGCCAAGCAGCATCAGAGAAGCAGGAAGGCTGACGTTTCGGGCCTAGACTCTTCTTTAGAAATGAAGAAATAAATGCCAACCCCTCCATATTTCACTTCAGCTCTGATGAAGAGTCATCTAGACCGGAAATGTCAGCTTGTTCTCTCTCCATGGATGCTGCCTGACCCACTGTGATCTCCAGCATTTGTTGTTTCAGTACAGATTCCAGCATCTGCAGTAATTTGTTCCCTATTTCAATATCCCAGCCGCCTCACAATGAAGGGCCAATATCCCACTTGCCTTCTTAATCACTTACTGTACCTGCGTGCAAACCTTTTGTGAACTTGAACTGCTCAGTCGGCATAGAATACACAGGGTGAAGTTTCACCAATGCCCTATAGCAAGGCTTCTCCACTATCATACTTCATCTCCCTTTCAGTAAAGGCCAACATTTCATTTTCCTTCCTAATCACTTGTTTTGTTTGCATGCTAACTTTCTGTAATTCATTCGCAAGGGCAACCCTAATAAAAGTAAACCCAGAAATGATTTTAAGTGTATTTTCATTTGTACGATTTAAATTAATAAGTCTCAATAAAGATTCATTTGATGAAAAGATTTTAAAGCCCAGTATATTAAATTCTTACCAGTGAGAGAGCAAAGAGCTACAATGATCGCTCCTGTAATGAATTTCATTCTGACCTTATGCTTAGTTGCTGATTTCTAATCTTCCTTGCCTTCTCTGTGTTTCCTAATGAGAGTGAAACAACAAAATCATTTGAGTCTTATAAAAATAGACATCTTTGAACTCTTGTAGCTGAAATAAGATTTCATCCCCAAAATCAGAAACACGTAATTAGATTTACCTCCTTAACCTTAGCTAACCTATTGATAGATGACACTTATTAAACTACTGAATTGATAGATTAGGGCTAAAATCTTAATCTCTGCACCATACACTTTAGGAAGACCACTAGACTATTGAATTGAATTAGATGCTCCCAACAAATGCAATGATATTAGAGTTGTTCACAATGTCTTTTAATTAGGAACAAGAAATTCAGCTACTTTGTTTTTAGAAATTAGACTGTGAGAGGACAGAATTGGTGAGGTTGATGCATGTGACCTCATCCTTGCAAGTTGATTTCGGTCAAGTGCCCATCCAATTTCTTTATGAAATAAGCCAGAAGTCACATGACACCAGGTTATAGTCCAACAAGTTTATTTGAAATCACGAGCTTTCGGATCACTGCTGCTTCATATCATGATTTCACCTGACGAAGGAGCAGCGCTTTGAAAGCTTGTGATTTCAAATAAACCTGTTGGACTATATCCTGGTGTCGTATGACTTCTGACTTTGTCCACCCCAGTCCAACATTGGCACTTCCACATCTTTTGAAATAAGGCATTGTCTCTGCTTCCATTGCTCTCACAGGCAGTGAGTTCCACTGTCATCACAGGCACTGTTTTCGCTTGCCAATGAAGAGCAATTTTCCCAAGCTGCTGGCTGTTTGCTAGAGACAGAGTGGCCCATCAGTTTCATGGCAGACTGCCAACTTCATGAAGGTGGTCTCCCAGCAGCTGGCTGGGTGGTAGCACTCCACAGGGATAGCCTCATGATGCCAATGCTGATGCTGGAGGGTTTACCCTCCATTCCCCTGGCCCTGTGTTCTTCGGAGGCGGCCTCAAAATGACTCTGAATTGCCTCCTCCTGGCATCATCAGCTAGGAAGTGCTACGTCCTGTGTAAGAATGTGAGAACCACCCTGATGACTGAAACTCCAGCACTTCAACAAAATCCCACTCTATACACAGGTAACAATCCTGCCTGGCCTCTCCTTACATTCCTGTGTGCTTGATGAAAACAAGATCAAAGCCCAGGCTGCACACGACGATCTCCAGGAGGCAGAGTCCAAACACCAACTTTGGAATTCTCATACCCACTTGCTACTTGTTTTAAATCATTGCAGAATCTAT